GGGGGGATATCCCTATAGACCCCCAGGGATACTAGTAAGCAGGTAAGAAAGAAAAGTTATTTCTTCTTATTTTTTTATGCATGAAAGTGAAAAGTGGTATGGATATGGGTCTTTATAGGTTGTTTTGAAAACTTTGTTATAGTTAGTATCAAACAAACATCTTCAAGTTTAAAGGTATTTAAATAAAGCTAGGGCTCAATTAGTTATTTTTCTGATTTTTACCAATCTTCGGATTTTTATATCTATTATTAATGTGATATTCTTACTGTGTTAGTGTAGCTCACCCTTTCATTAACTATTTCAGATCAAGGGGACCAATATGCAGGTCCCGATCAGTAAGAGAGTTATGAGTAGTTCACTATCCAGACTTCCTTTAAGTACTAATAAAAGTTGTCCTAGGATGCTTAATTATTCGCTCTTCGTTTTATTTCTTTAATTACCGTTTGTCTTTTAGAATGAACATTCTTGTATCCTTATTGGGCATTCAAAATTATTGTGTAAGGAATGTAAACTCTAACTCTATTAATCACATCTGTAATTAATTTTATGAATTTATTTTTATTTAAGTTTTAGGCCTTTACAGACACAGTCATATCACCCTGGACTAAGTGTGCAAACTCTATTTCCTTCAAATACTAGAGGTGCTTTGGGAGGTACTCTGCATTAGAGGCCATAAGAAACTATTCTAAAGTTACTGGAACGGGCAATGTGGCCTACTTAAGCTGCCACCAACAACCTGCTTTTCCCACAAGCATGTAGGTGGCAAGTACAATTTTTTGTTCGGGAACCACCTCAAAAGTCGCGAATGCCTCCTCTGTCTCAACTAACTAATACTCGGCCTCTTCAAAAGAGGATGCCCCTGTAAAGGTAAATGAGTTTAATCTTTTGTACCTTTCAATATAGTCTGGATCTATCATGGGTGAAACTAGGTCTTGTGGAAGAGGGACTAGATTGTGTTGGGGAGGAACCGAGTGGTCCTGTGGTGGTGCCGGATGATACGGTGGAGACACCAGATTGTACTGTGGCAGTGCTGGATGATGCGGTGGAGGCACCAGATTATACTATAGCGGTGCCAAATGGTACGGTGGAGGAGCAAGGTTGTACCAAGGTAGCTCTGGATCTTCCCGCTGTAAGGGTGGCTCAAACTGTGGCAGCGGGTCAGAGTCAGACAACTCCATCCTTTCCTCCCGGGCCTGCTGGGCAGAGATGAGTCTCTCTATTATCTCAAAGAAATGGTCAACATTCTCTCGAAGCGAACTATCCCGGGCTATTCGGTTTAGTAAGGGCCTTCCTCTCCTCATATCTTTGTACCTGCATTTCATAAGGAATAGTTGAGTGATAGATCATATTT